TGGCCTGTGCCAGAGAAAAGGTTAGAACCTTCTGGCTGGAGAGGGAATCAACTCCTGAAATGTTTTTCCTTCTCTGTACATTCCCATTGTTTCTGTACTGCTTGATGATTGTCCAGGCACTATCCCACACCAGTTTCATAAGTAAAATTCAGTTGGTAGTAACTCAACAAGCTGATCCAAATTGACAGAATATCTTTCGGCAGACTTTACACAAACCAAGAAGAATTTATCTGCTTCCTGATCTGCAGCTGGTGTCCACACACGGACATCACTGCTGTAACGTCTGCACAGGATGCACAAAGGGGCAGATACTTCTCAGAGTACACAAACAGCAGTTTGAAAAGGGCTAAAACACAGACATAATCCTGACAGGTGTATTTTTTAAACACTTTCCATTCAGTATCTTAAATATTCAAAATTAAAACCAGAAATATTAATTTTTATCAGAGGTTAAGAAGCAGAAAAAGTGAAAATTACATCAATTTTTAAAGGCTGATTAAGAGAGTACTTTGTATTTTTCAACCTATGGTATTCTTATAGCAATTCTTGAACACATTTGTCTGGAGCACTTTTCAGACAGTGGTGTCAGAATTTGTCCCAAGAGAAATGCATCAGTAACCCCAGTCTTTGGGGTCTCACAAAATTTTTTTCTTTCTTTTTCCTTTTTTTTTTTGAGGAGGGCAAGAGGAGTCAAAGGGAATACAGAACATTTAAAACATTCCATCCTTGGGGTTTAGGAGCTGCTAAATTACTCTAATTGTCTACCTAAAACCTCCTTTCACCTGCTGACATGTCCTGGCAATTTGCAGTTCATTGAAAAGCATCCATTATAATCAAATTCTCATTCAGGATCTGAGGATCATTGTCAGAAATGTAAAGATATCTTAAATGTGCCTATAGAAGAGATCCTTTCCTCTTGTACTGTTACTTATCCTCCAGAAAAAACAATCTTCTCACAAACACCAAGTAGATGAAACAAAGAGCAGACTTGCCACCACAGCCATTTTGAGTAGCAGTGTTAAAATCTGGTGTTCAGTGATGATCTAGCTATATCAGCAAAAGCTTTTTGCAGACAAAACACAAGTGCTTAATTTAATTCATCACCAGACATAACTGTCAGTATACGGTGATTTCTAGCAAACCTTCTGCAGACACTTACTATAGCAGACAGTCTTCCAGAAAGAAGGACCTCTGGGATGAGAAACAGGGACTGGGAATAACTTGTAATCCTGCTGAACCATGCAAATTTCCCTGGAAGCCTCTGGCAGGGCAGATACAGTGTGAAGCCTTCACAGCCTTCCTTCAGAATGCTATCCCACACTATTTTCATTCTCAAGTCAAAGAATTAACCTTGAGAAGGAAAGCTCAGCTTGGTTTTTATTGTCTTCCACTGCTTGCTTGAGGCAGAATATCATCAGAGCACCAAGAGATATACATCTCCCTTTCAGACTTTTAACTTACTTGTTTGGCTGGAGGCCTTCTGTTCGTTAAATTTATTCCGTTCTTTTTCCATGTACAACCACATTAATTCTAGCAGCACATTTGTAAATCTAATCAAAAGAGAACTCCAGGCTTGCACAGTATCTTACTGATGCTACAAAACTGTAGGTATACATGGTGAACAAATCAACATCAGCTTAGTCCAAAGTCAATAGCCAGCTTTGCCAGCAAAAACAATCATCACGGAAGTAAACTTCATTTACTACTACTACTCAGGACACTCTTGAAGAGACTAATGAACTACTCAGCATTCAAAGCTAAAGTCAGTATTCAAAACCTCACAGAAAGGTAGTGCCAAGGGCTAATGTTGCCTTTTTTCCCTGTTTCACACTGACAATATGGCCAACTGGATGCCATATGGACAATATGGATGCTGATCTCCTTGCTGAAGGGAAAAATAAGACAGTAACATTTTTTTCTCAGGGCAATACAACAGAATTTAATGATGCTCATTCTCATAATTTGGAATTACTTCCAGCACACGTAGAAATATACTGCCCTAAAGCCTATTACAAAGCTGCCATAAGGATGCTGTCCACCTTCAGATCTGTTGAATACTCATCACAATGATATCCACATAAACCAGCAGAAAGTAAAAGTGTTATTCCAAGAGTAGTGCTTGAGAATAATAATGCACCATTGGCACATACAGCTCCCATGAGTACACAGAGTCCATTGGATTATGGTTTGACCAAATTCTAGTACATCATAGAATCATAGAATAGTTAGGGTTGGAAAGGACCTTAAGACCATACAGTTCCAACCCCCCTGCCATGGGCAGGGACACCTCACACTAAACCATCTCACCCAAGGCTTCGTCCAACCTGGCCTTGAACACTGCCAGGGATGGAGCATTCACAACCTCCCTGGGCAACCCATTCCAGTGCCTCACCATCCTAACAGGAAAGAATTTCTTCCTTATATCCAACCTAAACTTCCCCTGTTTAAGTTTTAACCCGTTACGCCTTGTCCGATCACTACAGTCCCTAATGAAGAGTCCCTCCCCAGCATCCCTGCAGCCCCCCTTCAGATACTGGAAGGCTGCTATGAGGTCTCCACGCAGCCTTCTCCAGGCTGAACAGCTCCAACTTCCTCAGCCTGTCTTCATACAGGAGGTGCTCCAGTTCCCTGATCATCCTCGTGGCCCTCCTCTGGACTTGTTCCAACAGTTCCATGTCCTTCTTATGTTGAGGACACCAGAACTGCACACCATACTCCAGGTGAGGTCTCACAAGAGCAGAGTAGAGGGGCAGGATCACCTCCTTCAACCTGCTGGTCCAGCCCTTTCTTGCCATATAGGAACAAGCAGTCAATAATTTTTTCCAGAAGCTTCTTTATATCAACCTAACTGAATCATTTAAATGACGAGCGCCATCTAAGTGATGATCTAACCACCACGTTACTACTCCCCTCATGGTTATGTAGCAATTGCAGGCCGGCTTTTATGCAAACTTCATCACCCAGCTACCAAATCCTATCATAACAGTTAAAGAAAATCTTTCCACATGGGAAGTGTCTCTCTATTAATGCTCTGCAAAGCAATTGTAGAAGTGGGAAAGTAAGTAGATATGTGAGCAGATGGAAGTATGAGACAGTTGAAAGAAACACTGCTCTTCTCGGTAATCTACATGTAGAATTGAGATGGATGGAACATGTCAGAGAAAACATGTTCCCTATTGCAGACACTAAAGTCAGATTTCAGTGAAAACAAAACAAGCAAAGCAGAACCCAAACCCCTGAGGACACAGATGCACTGAACTACAGGACCTCCACCCAGGGGAAGAGACAGAGCAGGGTTGCTTAGGAGAGTCCAAAACAAGACAGCCAAGAGCCAAGAAAGGCACAAACAGTTCTGGAAGAGCTCTTTTCACTTCCCAAATAGGAACCAGTGCTCTGAACCAGCACTTTTGTTCCCTAGATACCCCTTAGGCCACACGCCCTGAGGGAAGCAAGCAAGCTCTCTGCACATAGGCCATTTAAAGCTGCTGTAAAGGAGGGCTCCTGGTGACAACTGACCTCTTCTTTTTTACAGGGTACATACAAATGCACAGCTCACAGCAACAATTCACCAATCCCCACACACAACACGAACCAGCTCATCGGCAACAGAAAAGTGCTCGCTTGTGGTGAGCAACATCGACCTGTCACTCAGCGTCTCCACAGGGCAGGAGCCACAGACTGCAAGTGGTTCAATGGCTCCGTGCACTCTCCACAGCCGGTTACCCACAGCCCTGCTGCCTTCACTGCCCTAGGAGAGGGCTCCGTGTGCCGGGCGAGCCGCCCAGGCCTGCTCCCGCCTGCCCGCACAACCTGGGTGCTGCTGAGGCACCGGAGCCACCGGTGGCTCGGGCCCGGCCGTGGGGACCCAGCCGTGCTGCCATCACCGGCCTGCGAGGGAGGGCCAGGTGTGTGCGTTTGTTTGTTTCTCACCACAGGATGTGGCGCAAATGCTCCTGGTTCTGCTCCTCATGTGCACCTCTACACGTGCTTCCTGCCAGCTGCACAGCAGCCCTGTCCCGCTCCTGCGGTTCGTCAGCGGCGTTTCGACATCGGACAAGGTTGCGAGGGGAGGGTGGAGGCTGTCTTACACTGAACAAGAATAAACTTGAGGGGGGAAAGAAAGGAGGAAAGTTGTGCGTGGAATTCTGTGAGGAAACGGCAGTGGTGTGACAGGACATGCTTTGGGAGGGATTTTGTGTGACACAGCAGCACAGACCATGTACAGCCTTGCCACGTTCATAAACTGCGAAGAAGTAAGATCAAGATCACAACACTTTCAAGCCATTCTCTGTATAGGGAGCTACTGTCTCAAGCAGAGCAGGCCCTGGAGTTCTTCAAAATACACTGGCCATGTATAGCTAAAGATTACGTTTACTTTGCCCAGAGGATGACAAGTAAAGAACATCTACTTGTAATTATGTGTCTGTGTTACTGATTAGCTCATCAAATTAGCCATCAAATTTGCTCCTGCAGGGGTGTTGACCTCAAGTTCATGATGAAATTTGTACCTTCAAGTACAAGGTCTTCCTCACAGCTTCAGTATTTGAAGTTTGGCCAAAACATGTCCTTAATGAGCTGGCTAGCTCTAAATAATTATTAGCGTCTGAAAATGTCTCTAGATTTCATACTCTCTTTTTTGGACATTTTTTCTTAATTATATTGCTGCTAAAATAAACCCAGTACCACAAACCCCCTCGGTCTCAGCCGTATGATCACTTGCATTATCTCTAGCAAACGTAGCTGTTTGATAGGAATCAGTGATCTCACTCCCTTATAGAACAGTGCTAGAAAAACAATATAGTTTTGTATAGTGCATAGCTGCACGGTTCTGTCACACATCTCTCACTATGGAAAACTGCTCATTATGGCAGCTACAACACCACTATGCAACATTTAATTCTATCCCAAACTGCTGTTTCTCCCGCCACAGCTTTTTCTTCTACCGCTACTCTGCCTCCCATCAGCTAAACGTAAGTGGAATATGACAAGTGTTTACACAATCAGCACAAATCAGACCATTTCCGTATTGAGGACTTCCTCAACCCCTAGAGCCACTTGGCAAAGACCTCACTCCTGTAACTCCACCAGCCAGCTTGCTCAGGATCAAGAACATGGTTTTTCTCATGATTCTGCTGTTTTCCTACCGTAAGCCAAGGACATACTTCTTACATATTACAAATCTTTCTGAACAAGAACAAGCATTTCTTGACTGAAAGCTTTCTTCCCTTCTCTTAGTTCAAACGTCTCAGCAGATTCAGAAAACTATGGTAAACGGCAAAGGTAGGTTTTCTTTTTTTGGGGGTTGAGATATGGGCTGAAATTAACTTAAAAAATACAGGGAGCAGGGGATTTTAAAATGTCCAAAACCTTCATGTAAAACATATTTTTCCCCTCTAGAAATGTCATAATTTATCTTATTCGTGACTAGTTTATTATATTTTGTAATGAAAATACAAGTTTTTATTACAAATTTATTTAATATCATAAAAGCAAACTAATTTGACAGACTGTCAAGGCTCTTGCTGCTACTATCCAAAAGTTCAATCTACTTACACAACGTTAATTCTGCCTGATACAGCCACATATAAAATACTGCTTTTACTTGTGGGTTCACATGCTACCTCTCAACTATCTCATAGGGTTACTTTCTCCGACAATTAACATCCCATAAAATTTATATTTATCTTTTATACTTGTATTACTTTAATTCCTTCTGTAGTTTGAAAGTATTTTTGTTGTTTCATCTGGATACATCTGTTGGCTTTGTATGCATATGCTCTCTCTTGCATGAAGACATGCACTTGTCATTATTTCTATGAGTCATCAAGTGTTTGAAGCTCTATATTGGTTTTGAAACATACAAAGCTGTGTTGCCTGCAATCAGAAGATGAAAAAGACCCTATAACCCCCTATTTCAACAGAAATTAGTATAGAGTGGTCTTCAACATATTTTGGGAAAAATCTGGGTTTCTTGGATGAATGGTGCAGTGAACTCACTCAGCAGTTTCTTCTTTCCAGAGATGCTGTCCAATCCCAGGCTCAAACCTGTTCAGGGGACTTTGAATGTAGTGATGAACCAGAACGTGACCCTCTCCTGCAACTCAGATTCTGGATCTCCACCTGTCAGATACACATTGTTTAAACGTAATCAGAAGGTATCCACCTTAAACAGGCCAGACCTGACCCCCAGTTTGTTTAACTTGACTATCAACTCTGCCAGTGATCTGGGTGAATACAAATGCAAAGCTGAGAATAACAACACCAGTGGCGGAAAATACAGCAACAGTCTCAGCTTCACCCTTCTAGGTATGTCTTGCTGTATTCCTTCTCAGCACATTTCATTTTAGGGGCACAGAGACATGGATCTGCAGCAGCAGGAGTCAGGGGCTTGCTTGCAACAGGTACTGTTTTAGACTGCAACGTGTGCCTGCCTTGACTGTAGAGCTGAACTTTACTGTAGATCGCTGTTACTGTCTTAGGAGTTGGCAGTGCTATTCTCATCTGGCTCACCAAGACCCCCATCCTTCATACTCATCTAATTTGCCAATGTTGCTGCTTAACTCCAAGCCTTGCTTTGGAGCTTGTCCTGTACTCAATGATGCAGCCTTTTCAGTTTTCTTTTTACAGAGCCCATTTCCAAACCAGTGCTGAGCTCACCCACCTCTCAAGCAAAGAAAGGCCAGAATGTGACCCTGTCTTGTCTCTCGGAGAATGGCTCTCTTCCTATCACGTACATATTCTTCAAAGGAACACAAAGCATCTCTTCCCAGGTGATGATGCACAAGGAAGCAGCTGAGATTGTTCTATTCATCAATTCCTCTAGTGACTTTGGAACCTATAAATGCAGAGCTGAAAATGGTTTTCGCAGAAATGCAAAATACAGCAACGGTTTCAACTTCACATTAGCAGGTAAGCCCGTGTGAAACCGTTTCCCACTGTCAGTAAACAGGGGCCACACAAAACTCAATGTTATAACACCTCAAGTTTATAGCCAGGAATTTTGTTCCTGCAATTTAATGTTCAAAATACAGTTTTTTACATTTAAAAAGAAGTTCTTAAAGTGAATGCAAAAATTCCATGCAGCTGAGATAGCAGCAGAAGTTGAAGTGACCATTATGGATGACTGTAAAAGATTCACCTTTACAAGAACCTGCTGGTCTGCCCTGTGTAGAGTCCAGTTTCATTTTCTCTCTGGTCTTATGAAGAGTCCACTGGCACCAGCAAGGTCCTTTCCTTCTGCTGTGGCAGTGTGCACTTGGGACTCTCCTGAGGATTAACCACAGTTAAATCCAAAAGCTGAAAGAAATGCAAAGTGTTGATTTTAATTTAAAGAAAACATAAACACCTTTTTATTTCTTTCTTTTTTGGCAGAAGAGAGAAGACTTTCTCAGCCCCTGATAATTTCTCTTGGGTTGATCGTGCTACTATTCGCAATAGGACTTGCTCTGGCAATTCCGTTTTTCATAATTCCTTCATATAAAGCAAGTGAGTTATTTAAATGTCTGTTTCGTTTTCCAGAGGTGCTCGTTTATGTTGTCTATACATTTTAGCGTGTAAATATCATGTTACAAGTGGAGTTAAGCTCTTGGTATTTTAAGATGTTGTCTTAACCAGCACAGGCAATGTAACAAGACACTGATAAGGCAAAACCTCTGAGCTATGTTCTAGATGGCAAGTCTGGGATGGGGGAAGCAAAACAACATCTAATTTAATACACATAAACTCATAAATTCACTGGAAGGAATTGACCTCATTGTTCTTAGTAGAAAAAGGAAATACTATTAAAATGCCCTTGGTTAAGGAGTAATTTTTATCACGAAAATAGCATTATCAGGAACCAAAAAATATCATGAGGCTGTTTATTTCCCCCCAGGAAACTCTGATATACATATATAGGCATGTGTTTGTTTTTCTTCTCCAATTTGCAGAAAAATTTAAGCCTACTAGACCCTCAACTGGCTTTACTTCAACACCAAATGTAGAAGAGCCTGAAGACGAGGTCATATACTCAGAGATCAGTAAGTTCATGTCACTCCCCAGCGGTCATGAAACTTGATTGTTGGAGTTCGGTAGAAGAATGCTGTTATGCTGTTTGTAGCTAGTATGGGCAAATTTCTTCAGATACTGCAAAAGCAGTGGAAGGAGACAACTACTACCACTTAGGGAGTGAGATAACTTTGCTGCTGACCCTGCCTGGCAGAGGCACAATTTGAAGTCACGAAGGATACGTATTGGCACTTCCTGTGTGTCAGCAATGCAGCCAAAACCACAACTGCTTAAACGAACTGAAGTTTTATATAAAAATCTACCATAAATAGAAGTAAAATGAAGAATTGCATTTGGCAACTCATGGTGAGGGTTCAAACAGCCATTACAGAGGAAAAGCAAACTAAAAGTAAGTAGGTCAGAGGTGCAGTGCCCATTTACTAAGAGACGATAGTGGCCTGTATGCAAGTTCTAGCAAAATAATATGTCTCCTGCATTCTGTTCAAAATTGCTCAGTGCACAATAATTCCCCATTCCATGTTTCTTAACTTTGACATGAGTCAGAGTTAGTTCAAACTGAAATGATGTAATGCCAGACAAAAAATCAACTGACTAATGTTAAGAGATTGTACTTCTTCAGTTGCAGAAAATACACAATAATGAAGACATTACATGAAAGCCACAATGGTATTAACTTACAGTTTTCTACACTTGAGTTCTATGTGAATGTCAGTATTTTCAAGGGAAAAAGACCCCCCCCCAACAAACAGCAAAGGTATCATGCTTCCTGCTTCTAAGTATCAGAAAGGGAATCATTCTCACCAAAGAAATCTGCCTTCCTGTTCATGAGTAGATAGGTAGAACTCCAGCTGCTCTGCTGTGCTAGCTGAGTGCAACGCAAGACACCCATCAGCATAGCCTGCAAGGACAGTGACAGGAGCTCTGATAAGGCCCACGAACACTGCAGAAATCATGGCAGAGTTACACTCAATACAGAATCTCACTGCTTTATTTCAAGATTATTTAAAAAACCAAAGTCTGGTCGGTCTCGAGTTAACGGCTGTTCATCCTCTCTAATCCAGTGCCTGTTAAACCAGAAGAAGAATACATCAACTTTTCTGTTTTAAGAAGAGAAGATGAAAAAGGTGAAAACCTCAAGCTGTAATACTGGTGTTTTGCTGGGGGGAGGCAGGGTTTACCCAGCAGCAGTTACAATACTGGAATTGCTTACTTCCTGTGGAGAAATTAAAAGTAACCGAGATTCTTCTGAAAGGGTTAAAAAGTAAAATAAATAGCTTATCACCATTCTAAGCATAAAAATTCACCAGCCCGTTATGAAACCATGCAGGGGATGTTAGTAGTGACCAAGCTGCTGATGACATGAATATTAATTCTTCTGCTGTGTATCTGTACCCAAAAAAAGCCATTAAGAATTCTGCTATTCTGCCTTTCAGGAGACAAGAGGGTGTGTGCCACCGTCTATTCAAGGGTGTTGAGCAGAGACTGAGTATAAGGTAAGATCTCTTTTGTGATTAACTTAATTGTGTATTTTGAAATAATCTTTCAGTCCCTGGGTGCGATAAGTATCACCAAGTCTACACAGAAAGAGATGGTACTGAGATACTAGTTTCCTGGCCTGATCATTTGGTACAGACAATATAGCTTGTTCTTTACCAACAACCCCAAAGTCATCACCTCTAAGGACTTCAATTTAAAAGAACAAGCAGAAAACAAACTGAGAAAACCTGGAATTAACAGAGACAAGTAACAACCCCATTAGACAAACAGTAGCTTATTGCCCAAATAACACCAAAAACACAAACTGACTCAGCGCAATCAGTCAGGTAAGATCCTACTTGACACAAGATATAGCCTGGCATTATGTGCATCTGCTGAATAACCAGAAAGGAATAAATGATATAAAGTGTTCACCCAGACCCAAGTTCTGTATATTTAACAACCGTCCTGCAGTCGAAACTGAATTGTATAAAAATGTAAGACAATCAAAAGGCTCTAGTTAAGTATTTAATATATATATATCTCCAAAGTGTGCTGTCCTCTTAGGCACACACTAGAACATCCGTATGTGGCCTCTACCTGCTGTCACCTAGCAGCAAGGATGGCAATTTCTCAGTTCAACGTTACTTCAGCTCTTGGTGTAGGGAAAGGATGCTAAAATTAACTTTTTGGGATAGTTAATTCCAAAACAAATTTTGCATCCTCCAACAGGCTGTTTCATAGATGTTTCTGGGTTGTTTTCATGTTGTTCTATAGCCATTTACATTGAACTCCATGAGTTCAGTAAGGCACAGATCCACGCGATGCTAATCTTGCTTTACATCTGGCATTGTTACAAATAACCCGTTTATAGTTAAATGAGCACCATGTCAATAGAAGAAACTTTTAAGGCAAAATCTTTTGTTTCATGGCATTGATGACCACCAGGGGCCACATGCATTGTTGCACACACCTTAAAGCACTTTATTAAAGTGACTTAAGCTATACACGCATTGGAAATTACTGAAGATCAGAATAGTTTCATATCTATGCAAACCTTCATATCTAACTACAACACTTCAGCATAGATAAATATGATCACAGATTAATCTTTTCCCACCATTTTCTAGGTACAGACATTTCTGTCCAAAAAAAGTGCTTGTCAAAAACTGTTTACAATCTATTTCCTCTCTTACTCTTGATAACGTATTCTTGATTTTGATGTTTATTAAGGGCAAGATGAAGTACCTTAAATGCTGAGGAACTGATGCCATGTGATTAAAATACACCTCTACAAACAGATATTACAAAGACACTTGCTGATGTTATTGAAACATTCAGGATTTGGAGGTCTTTTTTATAAAACACCATTTTCCAGCAGAGACCATAACTGTGATGGCAACACACGAATTAAAGATTTTTAGGTTAAGATGGAGTATTTTCAATAAGATAGTAAAACTGGAGACATGACAGAGAATACAGTTAGCCCTGCTAATGAGGGACAAGTTTGTCTCTTCTCAAGGTAAGCTTGAAGACCCAGATGGTCTGGAGTCGATAGAAAAGAGATGCACTGCCAAATTTTACAGGTCCATGACACTGCAGAAGCCAGTTCAGGCACAGATGTTTAAGAAATTCCTTTTATTCAACACATATAAATTCACACATTTTTGGCTGATGTTACATACTTAGTTAAAAAGTCCGTCAGCCTAGAAATATGCATCATTTCCTTCATGGTTGTATCTCTGCTTCTCAGCTGGACCACTCCATTCTCTAGAGTGGCATCTGTTATCAAGATCATGAAGAGAACACCCATCTCGTCATACCTGCAGAGAAAAGAGCACTCCTGTTACTGCTTCTGGTGTATGAGAAATTCAGATAAGTTATGTACAAATGACCATCATCTAAGTATTTATTCCTGCAATACTGCACGAAGTCCAGGATGAAGACACCACTCTCCTGTTGCCCTTCCTTCCTTTCCTATGGTTCTTTAAATTATTTACTTTAGTACATAAAGAATGTTATTTAGTGACCTACTACAAGAATATTTTTGTAAAAGCAGAATATATCTTTCGGTCTTGCTTTGAAGACTACTGCACATGAACAAATAGCTGTATTTATTTTGTCTCAGCATAAGATATTCATCAATATGCTCAAAGTTCACTCCTGATCAACAAATTGCATATGATGCCCTGAAATGGAATAGCAGATTTATCTCCACAAATAATTCCATCACATAAACTAATGGTTCCAGACTTGGAAGAATTTTTAAGCTCAAGGCTAGACACACAGTGCCATTTGAAATAGTACTTAAGAATGAAATGCAGAACCAGCCCAGATGCAAAAGTGGGGGTTGAGGGTAGGAAACATTTCTCGAGCTTGTAACTCATCTCAAGAAGTTTATTTTCAACTGGAGAGTCTCTAAAGGGCATTTCACAGTTCCAGAGAAACGACAACAACACGTGAAGGCTCAAACTTACTTTTAGAAATGAACTGACATTGCTTTCTGTAATAAAACTCATTGATTCCAGGTTCATGGTTTGGATACATGCCTTCAGCCACTTGGTTACTGCACTCAATGACTTCTTACTGAAAACAAGCTTATTTTCTCTAGTCCACAGAAAGTCATCTGTCACCTTCATAGTTTAACTTACAAAACACTGTTTCTCCTTACTTTGTATAAAGTTGTTCCAGAGATACCTGCATGGTTTCAAGGTAGCCCGGCCATACAGAAATTCTGTTTTCTGACAGTTCATTGAACAATCCTTGACAAACCTGTGTTTATTGAAAAACAGGAGTTAAAAGACAGATTTGAGGGCTTGAAGCTCTAAACAAAGAAACCCATTAAAGCTCTAGTATGTGAGGTATTAGCATTCCCAGCTGGTGTTAACTCTCTGGATAAAATAACCTCAAATCAGAAAGCAGCCCAGCAAATACATCTCTGTTTCTATCTGAAAACATGTCAGTGCAAGGTCCCTCCCTTCTGTAGGGACCAGCTTAATGACTGAAATAAAGACCTTTAGAAACCCCTTCTGAAGATGCGACCTGCATGTTAAGATAATCCTGAAAGATCAGGAAGCTGAGAGGGATTGTGTTATTTATTTTGCTTAATTTTTCATGGAGCAAGTATCAACTGTGTAACAGCAGTAAAAGCAACGTGTTAATGTACGGAAGGCATCTGCTACCCACTGTCTGCAGTACCCTCCAGCTACAACTCACAACCTGCTCTGAGAAAGCTGTACAACCACAAACCTCCATGAACCAAAGCAGCAGCATGATTTTCCCCAGTGTAAAGAGGGTCTGAATGGTAACAGAATGTTATGTGGAGTCAGTGTTCAGAATTAAAATACTTTCTTACAACGTACCTGTCTCAGCTCTGTTGTTGGACCTTTTCCTACATCCAAGGCCACTTTAAGAGGCGCTAAACAAGGATGAAGCTTAAGTACCTAATAATATTACAAAAAGCAACAGATTACTATGTGTTTAGTGTGACATTCTAAACAGAATGAGGAAACAGTACTATTTTTTCACTGAAATTAAGGTTCTAAACATGCCTGAATTTTGTCACAGCACAAAATCCTGATTAGAAGCATGCTGTACGTTACATCTAAAATAGCACACAGGCCAGCTAGGTGAGCATGGCAGAAATTACTCCATTTTCTCTGAGCCATGGAAAAGACATAAAGCTTTCTTAGCGGAGCTCAGTCATCTTTAATGGAGGCAACGATCAGAAAGCCCAGCAGACAGTTATCATCCCGCCTAACAGATCAAACTGATTTCTGGCTGTGTAAAAGCCAGAAAACCAGAGTAAAAGTGGGAAAAATGACGGTCCTCAGGGAATGCCCCACTACCACTTGACACCCACTTTTCTGCTCTCCTCAGCAACCTTCAAATGCTGCTGGAAGAGATAAACTCCTCTCTCCGACCACAGCAGCATCATTCCAATCCCTCTTATCACCATCACATGCATGACAAGGGCCTATCTACTCATCAGAGGAAAAGAACGTGAAACAGGAAAGGTGACCTCAGATAAAAGTTGCTTATGTGGGTGAGAAGGATGGCAGAGGTAGTCCCATGGGGCCAGCTTATTGATACCAGTGAGGAGTGTTCTGACTGTGCCTGTTTGGGAAGGGAGGATGTGATGTGGAAAAGGGAAGTATGCCCCCATCCTTGAATTTACTACACCATCTGTGGGGTTTGTACTTAACCTTCCCTTACACTTTCTATAGAAAGTTACCTTTCTCTGTGCAATTTTCTTTTTTGTTAAAGGATTCTCAGCTAGCTGCAGTGAATCAAAGAGATACGCTAACACTCCTCGGTCCAGGTTTCCACTCATAGACAGAACATGGGGAATAACATTCTTCCTTCCATCTCGACCCTGAAGAGAAAAAACCCACAAAGCGATACCTCAAAGACTGTCCAAAAAAGCCTTTTGCTTACTTTAATGTCTAAGGAGGCACTGAGCTTGAGCACCTTTGCTACATGTAAAATACACTCAGAAGTGTTTTAAAGTTACCAGCCATCTTAAAAGTGTAACAGCAACCAGGTAAGACTGTAACACCAGGGGAAGCAGGAGATGGAGCAGGATGGCATTATGTCCTTGTCTTGCTGCCCTGATTGTAAATTTAAATCTAGGGCAAATGCACTTGAAACTGCATTTTCTTTTGCAGGTTTGTGGATTACTTCTGAGTGACCACAAGGATGTGTCCCCACATTAAGAAATCCCTATGTAACCATTTCTGCATAGAAATAGACTGCAAAACCAGGAGAGACAGGCAGAGTATCAACTGCACTGCTGTTACATGCTAAGCAACTGGACCAGCAAAGAAACCATTTCTCTCACAGTTATCTTTATCAGAAATAATTTTTAATAGAATAAAGCTTACAAGTAATTTTGAACTATCTCCTGGATACATCTGTAACAGTTCAGTATCTCCAAGGTTCTTCAATGTTTCTATTGTTTCTGTCCCCCAAGGAAATCTGTAATGCAAATTAAATCCTTTTCTTCCTCTTTCATCCTGAAAGTCGCTGCTGCTGAAGTTAGATGGGGCTACAGCAAACTGAGAAGACAGAAGAGGGGATCACTGCCAAATCACTTTGCCATTTCACAGCGTCTTGATCTCAAATCACTTACAAACACAAAACATTTGCCTTTCTGCAAGTCAAGTTATAAACTACTTCACAGGTTTGTCATCAACTTAAGCAGTTTTGCAGTTTCTCAAGAAATACATGTATGTCAGACACAAAACCAGGCTAGCAACATAACGCTGAGCAGGATGTTTATTCTCTCCCTCTTTAAGATACGGAGGAGCCAACCAAGATTCCCCCCTGCTACTGTTACCTTTCTCCACCACTGAAGCCTCTGGCGTAACCAGTAATCCAGCCACTGTCCTGTAGTTCTGGGAGAACTAAACCATGCAAGCAAAGACGTGGTCCTTTCGCCTATTCTTTAAACAATAGCAAGGTCAGCAAGTTAACTCCTTCAAAAATAACAGGGGAAAGAGCAAGAAACAGTATTCAAAAATAATTCAAGAGTGAAACAAGTACAAAATAGTTGGTTTAAAGCTGGAAAAGGATTAATCTCTTTCATACTCTACCTTACATGATTTTTGCTGTGTTGTTCGCTCTCTGGAACAGAGTGAAAGCACACTCCAGTTTGAGCAAGGCCACAAGGCAGTCTTCTGTTCACCAGCTCTAAGCAGCTAGCGTATTGTGCCAAGGCACCTGTCAAAGGACAAACCACCAAATTTAGCAGCCGCAGGAAAAGAGTTTATTTTTTAACTCTTCCAAGAGTGAATGCAGCGCACACAACACACGCTGCTCACGTGTGCAGCCCCACTAGAGGCCGTTTCGCTGAGGTGAGCTGAGCAGTCTGCAGCCCAGTTCCTCCAGGTACCTTCACAACTGTGATTCTAACATGCCTTTTTCCCTAATTACAAGGGAAAGCACCCGATGTGCACCCCGCCATTCACACCGCTGAGCTCCTTGGAAAGAACCATGCCCAGCGCACTGACACAACTGTAAACTCCCCTTAAACACAGCTGCTTCGCTCGCTGCAAGAACCACGCGTGCGGTGACAGATAAAGCACCTACCGGGGAGCAGGCTCTCACGGAGCATCCCCGCGGCTCCCAGCACTTCTTCCAGCGACAGGGCGCCCTGCTCCTGGCTACAGCCCCTGCCCTGGAGGGCTTCGTGCAGGGTTTCAGAGCGCAGCAGCCGCAGGCCCTGCGAAGCGGCGGCGGCGGGCGGGCCGTGCAGCGGGGCATCCACCGCCAGCACCTGCTCGCGGAAGGGCAGCGCCGCTTCCCACCACTGGGACACGAGGTTTCCGCGCAGCGCCGCGCCCAGCGGCCCGAAGCCCCGGTGACAGCCGCTGAGGTAATCGCGCCATGGCAGCGCCGGCCGCGGCTCCGCGCCGCCTCGCAGGAAGTGCCGCCGCCAGCACACCTCCAGCAGCTCCTCCCCATTCACCTCATGGCCGCCGCCGCTACCCGCCGCCACAGCGTAGAGCCGCGCCGAGGACGCTGCCTCCACCCGCCCCGCGACCCCCGCGGCTGGCGGCCGCCGCCTGACCACGGCCCGGCCCAAGGAAGGGCGGCCGCAGAACCGCCCGCAGCGGCTGCAGCTCAGCGCCATCTTCCCTTCCCGCCTCCTGCCTCATGGCGGCGCGAGCACTACGCATGCGCAGCGGCCCGCGCGCAGGAGGCCACGGCGGTTGCGCATGCGCACTGACATTCCTCAGGGGGGCGGCATCCCCCTCAGTCCGCCCGCGGCCCCGCTCCGGGAGGCAGCGCCCGGCCCGGCCCGGCCCTGCGGGGCACGGGAGCGCGGGGCTCGCCCTCAGCGGTCTGTGCTGTGCAGTGTTGGAGCGGACCCGACCCCCATGGCGGCGGCACAGGGACACTGCCGGGGGCAAACCCCGTGCAGAGCTCACGGGGACGGCTCGGTGGTGCTCTGGGGGGGGCCGGAAGCAGCGTAGAGGGTGTCCGAGAGGAGCTCGGGTGAGCGCGGTACAGCCGTACCGCCCGCAGCAGCAGTGGAAATTTCCATGCGCGCTTCACCGCAGCGGGGCCGGGAGGTGGAGCTGCAGAGGAGCCATCCTGAGAGAGAGCGAGCTGATACAAACCCATGCGGGCCGGGATGATCCCAGCAGGAGCTCAGGACTGCACAACCCCGGCCCCAGCCTGGGCGGCCAGCCAGAACTGAGACCCACGCCTTAGCAGGGCACTGGGGCAGCTGGAGGGGCTGCTGCTCCTTGGTACGAGTTCACTGCTAAGGCAGATTCGCCATGATCTGCCAAGAGAATCCTGTCCAAGCTGTTCGGTAGAGCTCTTTTATCATTTTATGTGCAGATGTTGAGCACGCGCCTTACTGGGTTAACGACCTGAGCAACAGCACTCCTGTCACACGCATCCCCTTCCTAGAAACAACTGTGGAGCCCAAGTTTAAACTCACTCCGGATTT